CATAAAAAAGAAGGAAGGGGAGATAAGGACAATAGATGTTTGATAGGGAAAGAAGGAGCAAACCACACCAGAGCACCCGCCAACCCCCCACAGCCCCTGTCTGGAGAGCGCCAGGCAAATCTGCGTTATTCACTGTCGGTAGTTTTCGACTGACTTGCTTTTTCCCTGCATAAAGTGGCCCTTATCGTTCTGCGATAGGCGTCTCTGTTACTTAAAGTAAACTGCAAATCCACTTTGAGCGGGTCTGATGATAAGATTATACCTCGCTGCCAGTGTCGAAATGAGGGTGCAAGGGGGGTGTCTCTTAATCTTACACAAATATTCCAGTTCCTGTCACTCTATTTTGGCCTAATTTCATTTCTCTAAACGCGGGTTAACAGAACAGCCGTGTTTGCTCAGTTAGCAACAATATGTTCAACTTCATGTGCAGTGACCCTGGTTTGAATCCTCAAAGGTCTAGAATGCCGAGTTTGTTTTCATGACCACCCTTCACCCCCACACACACTTTGCTCTAGTATAATCTGAAATGAACGTTGCTTCGGAGGTCTCTCCTCTGGAACGTCTCCACTGCATTGAAAAGTATGAAATATACAACAGCTCAGCACAGCACAGCACAGCACAGCACAGCACAGCACAGCACAGCGCAGCACAGCACAGCACAGCACAGCACAGCGCAGCACAGCACAGCGCAGCACAGCACAGCGCAGCACAGGGCAGCGTACCATACCACCTGTCAGCTGTAAAGTACACACCTGTCCCTGCTACATAATAAGCTTATTACTCTGATGTTGACTAAAAGTATGTCCTGTAATGAGTTGTCCTTTCTTCTACACTTTTCATGACAGGTGGCGTTTCTGATTGGCCATGTTCATGACGCCAAGCTGCAAATTGATCTGGAAATAGAAAATCGACGATTTGGTGACACAATTGTCGGCAACTTTATAGACTCATATGAAAACCTCACGCTGAAGGTAAGAATTTGAAGAATGTCTTAGTCTTCAAAGATAGGTGAGACAGAATCTCGTAGCTGTTGTTTAGCTGTAGTCTATTTCAAGTCTTCAAGATAACGGACATATTTTATCATGTTGGTTTTAGATTGACATTTATTGTGACGGTTTCATTTAATCAGGAATAGGCAAGTACAAGAGAAACCATGAATGTTTTTGTTTGTTTTTGTTTTTGTAAAGTGTTTTACGGCGCTCGAAACTGCATAGGTCATATGAGCGCGCGGGACACACCT